TCTATTTGTTGGTGGATAAAACCCAACAAAAACCAATACTCCCTCAGCTGTATATTGCAAAGAAATAAGAATTATATAGGGTGGGATAAGGCAGTTTTGCATTTTGATTCAAGAACGGATTAAAAGTGAAGTACCCAAATTCAGTTCTGATTTGAGAGTAAGCTAGATCACAACCTGCGGGAGCAGTTTCTTCATGCAGAGGCCCCTCGATGAGGCTGGTCCAGGCTAAGAAAAGCCACTTGTGAGGGTGGGGAATCCAGGGGCAGGGGCCTGTTGGGAACAGGGGGGTCAGCTCTGCAGGGAGGCAGGCTGCTGCTCACCGAGGACTTGGGGGGCACGCCAGGCTGGGCGCCGGTGCGTGAGGAGAGCAACTATGGGATTTTAAGGACACGAGTTGACCAGAATTGCACGTATAAAAAGCTTTGGTGGCTGGTGGGAAATGATTCAAGGGGAGAAAAACTGGAGGCAGGAAACTAACAAAGTCTTACAAAAACCCAGAGAGGACCACGTGGGTGGAGCAGGACGAGGATAACCGGCAGACCAAGGAGGCACAACCCCATCCAGCTGGGCTTGGTTATTGGGGCGCTGGGAGGGTGAGCTGAGGGGCGACTCCCATGGGTCCCAGGTTTCTGGCTGGGTGGGTGCTGTGGCAGAGACTGAGACAGGAAGAGCCTGAGGAGTGGGTTGATTAGTGTGGCTTCAGGAATTTCCCGCTGGAAAGGCTCTGCAGGCATTTGACTGAGTGAGCCGGGCGCTCAAGGTGCGCCTGAAACCCCAGAAGGCGGCAACGGCATTTTCCACAGGCGGTGTAGTGGGAAGGTGGCCGACAGGGGACGGGACCGCGTGAGCAGGGACATCAGTGTCCAGTCGGTAGAGAAAGCGGAGGCTCCTAGGCCCTGACCGGTGATGGTTCGGCTGGGAAAGCCGGTGACACGCACGGAAACCCAGGGGGCCCAGGGGCCCCTGCTGGCTCGGCTGCCCCCCAGGGCTAGGCTGGATCAAGCCTGGGGTGTCTGCGGGTCACAGAGCGGCCAGAGGGAGCCCATGCCCGCGAGCGAGGTCGGAGAGCGGGGGCGAAGGCATGGGCCGCAGAGGCGGGCTCGCGTTCCCTTCCCGGGAGGGCCCCTCACAAAGTGAAGGGGGTTATGGCCGAACGAACAAGAATCCGAGGAATATGTATTTTTTTTTCCGGAGACAAATTCAGTCGGGCTGGAAGTCAGGAAGTGAGTGACTTGTTCCGTGCGCGCCAGACCAATAAAGGCGGCCTGAGCGCCCCATGCCAGCGCGGGGGTGCTGGGCTGCATTAAGCCAAGAATGTGATGCAATTCCGAAGAACAGGAAGAGGGTTAGCTGGAATGGAGAGAGGACTGACTTGGGGGCCGCTGAGGAGTGGGTGGAGTGGGAATGAGTCGTTTTTACAAAAGAGCGGAGCCAGAAATGAAGGGACAGAAATGGAAGGGATGGAAAAAATAGCTGAGCGTCTTCCCACCGCCCTGCCGACTTAGTCAGACGAAAAGCGTCAGGGTCGGCACTGGCTTTTCTGCCACCTAATAGGACAGAGGAGATACCCACCTCCTGGGCTCTCCTGGCATGGGGGTGCCCCTGCGACTTCTCCTCAAGCAGAATACAGTGTGCGACTGCAGACGACAAAATCTATCTGTAAAATGAGGCTGTGGATGAGAAGACACGTGTGAAAGCTGCTAAGGGACAGTTCAAGTGTCAGCTGATGTTTCTAAAGTATAAAATCGCAAGGATCTTTTAAACACTTTTGAAGAGTAAGAAAGGTTAGACACAGGTAACATTTGCTCCTGATAATACAGATACACAGTGACATATTCAGATGCTGATGAGAATTATTCTTGGCATGCAGGAGGCATCTTAAATCAAAGGAATCAGGTCTGAACTTAATTCCCTCTGATAAAAAAAAAAAAACATCTACATGAGAATCAGTGGTACATGAGGTCTAAAAACCTGGGGCTAATGGGAAAACATTTTTGGGTTTGTAGTGACTCATGTCAAGGCATTACAATGCAATTGAACAACAGTCCCAATTTTTTTTTTCCCCAGAAGCTAGAAAAGGCAAAATATTATTTGAAGTCAGTCAACACTTGTTGAACGGTCTTGGATGTATTGGGATTTGTCTCATCTGTCACCACCTAAGACCATTGTTTTTTGAAGACAATTTTTACAATCTAGTTATTTTCCTCTCAAGGAAACACGAGTTTTACTTTAGACTTGGAGGACGTGGCTGAGAGCCTCGGGGTTGGAGACTGACTGCCCTCTTCTGGGAGCAGTAAGTAAGCAAGGCCTGAGACATGCACCCTGCTGAAGGGCCTCTGCAGCCCCAGAACCAGGCAGGGAGTCTGCCCATCGAGAGCACAGAACTACAGAAACGGGTCTGGGGTTGCGGAGGCTCAGGCGAGATGGCGCTGGTCACGGGAGTAATAATAGTGTGGTACTTACAGGTCATGTCCCAGGGCATCAAATTCTCACCACCCTTTAAGTAACCTGTGTGAAGCAGGTAGATGGTCTCATTCCCGCTTCGCCCATGGGCGGCTGAGGCACATGTCCCTAAGCGATGAGCTGGCCTGGAAGCTATGTCTCCCACCCCCTTCTCACCACAGAAGCTGCCGCACGTGATGCCAGTGATTTGCCTTCGCTGCAGCTTCGTGTAAGTCTGTCCTGCTCCGGCACCGTTCACTTTCACTTCAGGGTTCACGTTACCGATGAACGTTAAGCACACTGGATTGTGCTTCTAGCAAGGGCCCAGTTACAAGAATAAATGTGACAACATAAATGCCACAACTAGTGGACAGGCTGTCATAGGACATCCTAAACCTCTGCTGGAAGTTCTTCAGTCTTTTTTCAAAGAGGCTTTAGCAAGCAAAGTTTTACCTCAGTTCCAACTCTCCACTTAGGGAAAAAAAGGCCTACAAATAGTGCTCGTCGTTGCTTACTTTCCTGTGCCTTACCACCTGCCCCTGCAGGCCAGCCCGGCGCACCTACCTACGGGGGGAGGAGGATTTAGCAGGTGCGGAAGTTGGTGGAAAGCAGGTCTTAGGCCAGTTTCTTCAGTGTGGTAGTGTCTTCTTATGTTTGTCAAAATGGCATTATTTACCGCTGAACTTGGTACCTTCTCAGGAGGCAAACATGGGAGGCTCTTGTGACATCCACACAGCACAGGGGCCACCGGCCCAAAGGCCGCGGTCAGCAGCTAACACCTCCAAGCGGGCCTCCGCCCCATCGTGGGCTTGTGTGTCCAGCTCTGATTTCCGTAGTTTCCTCCCCTCTTCACTCTGCTGCCGCCTTTCTCCTGGCCACAATGTGCTCACTCTACGATGGACTCTTCCTTGATTGTGCCTTTTTCCTTTCCCATTCTACGAGGCGACACCCCATTTTACCCCCCTTTTCTCTTGTCATTCACATTATGTTCTACCCACGACTTACAGCAAAGTTGTTCCCAAAAAAATGCACGTCATTCTTGACTCCATGGTCTCAAGCCGCAAATGCATGCTAGTACCTGCGACCTGTCTGTCCCTGTGCTGGGTGCCAGGGCTCACAGGTGGCCACAGCTGAGTTCTACCCCAGGGGCCGCACCTGGTATGGAGCCCAGGAGATAAATACACAACTGTGATTTTACCTTGGCGGGCTCTACACTAGAACTATGAACAAGTTGCCAAGGGGGGACAAAACTAACTCCACCCAGGTTGGTGGGGAGGATGAGTGTGTCAGAGACTTCATGAACAGAATGTTAGACTGGGTCTTTGGAAGGTGAGCAGTTTTGGAGGCTGGAAGTGGAGGCTGGTGGGGCAAAGGAACACACACAAAATGTCTGCAGACAGGACAGCATCAGCAAGGCACACAGAAAGTGGTGAGAGAAGGCGTCACATGCGTGCCTGAAACACACGTGCGTGGCTGAAACAAGGTGGCAGTAGGGAGGGGCGGATGTGTCCGCGATGGTACGAGGGGGCTGGATTATGGAAGGCTGACTGGAGCGCGTGACCTTCACTCTGCAGGGAATGGGGGTGTGACTCGCTCTTTAGGAAAAGTCCTGGTGTGAATATGGTGCCGCTGAGTTGGAAGAGGGACACTTCTAAGGGAAGAAATAGGGATGAGAGTCCAAATATTGCCCAAAATCAGGCCCAAAGCAGTGACAGTGAAACTTTCTGGCAGTTATGGAAAACAGAATTTAGTTACCAATTGAAAGGCAGAGGAGAAAATAGAGGAACCAAATGTAATTTCATGAAGATCATGGTTCAGTGCACTGAAGTATTTACAGAACAGCCACACACAGATATCCAGTGAAGCAACAAAAAACTGAGGCCTGTACTCAAGTTTGCAGGAAGACAGGTGTATTTTAGTTACCAGGAGCACATGGGATAGCTAATGCTCTAAACACAGAGGACAAAGTACAAGTGTGCTCTGGGAAGAATCCTTGCAACGTGTCCATTTTACACAGGTTCCTGAAAGTGGGAGCGTAACTGCATTGGTTAGAGAGAGAATAGTCTAGAATCATCAAAAGGTAAATTGAGGTCTGAAAATACATTGAGTATAAAAGTTGCTTTTGACATTCTCACTAAAACAAAGCTAGAAAGATAAAGAGGTAAAATTAAAGGGATAAAAAAACGTGAGGGAGGGCAAGAACAAGAGGTAAAGGTAAAAAAGCAACAAAAAAAGGGGGAAATTTACAGATCACTATGCTAAACCTTTTGTGAATCACGTGTAGAACATGACTGAAATCAAATGAAAAAGCAGCACAAGGGAAATGATGTACTACAAACCTTGGATAAGAGGCACTCAAGGATTCAAGAGCAAAAATATATAAAGAAGTAAACAAGTGGGTGGGGCAGTCCCTGCTGGCCTAGCGGCTGAGTCTCAGCTCTAGCACAGCCACAGCCTGAGTCTGCTCCCCGCCGGCGAGTGACCCACGGGGCGCACAGACTCTCCCGTCTCCCTGCTGCTCCCCTCAGCTGTGTGTTCAGTGGATCTGCCTGTTCTGTTTCGGGCTCTGTCTCGGTGAACCCTCTCACCCCTTGCACCGCTGGCCTGTACCCCACTTCTTCTATGGAAAAGAATCTGAGACTCGAAACTCTTAAAAAAAAAGTAAACGAGGGAGACGTGACAGAAAATGAAAAGGAGCTGAACAGTAAAATGAAATCACGTGGAGGTCAAACTCCTAACAATTTTGCTAATCTAAAATGAGAATTCAGGTATAGCACTTGAAATCAACTTTATTAGAATCCAATGATTAAACAGCTAAAGATAGTTTTGACTTAGTTCAATCCTGCTTGACAGTAATGAGCAAGAACACATCCGAGATTCAATTTGCTACCCTCTCATGCAATGAGCTTCTTGGGGGACATTTACAGTACAAGTCAGTTGGTCCCGCTGTAAATGCGCTATTACTGGAAGTGCAGCATTTATAACTTTTCCAACCACGGCTCTTTGCATTTTTGCTGAGCTGCCTGAAAAGATAACCTAGTGGGGTTCTTTGTTCTGTGAAATACACTAACCAAGAGTCTTAATTATGTGGCCACCCAGCCTTCAAGAGCTTAGTCATAAAACTCCCAGTAAGATGGGAAGGGAGATTTTTTTCTAATCGGTTTATTTTTAATGTGTGTGCAGAAATGATTATCTATTTGTGTTCATCACTTGCTTCTGGAAGACTTCCTACTGATAAAAACAGAAAATATAAAGTTTAGGATCCTAAAATGTGACTTTGAGGAACTGGGATACAGATCCCTGAATACCCCAGAGGAAAATGACAATTCTTTTTTCAATAACGTATTTCCTCCACACTTGTTACTTAGTCCAAAATGCAGGATCCTTTAATCTGCCATGGCTGGACAGTTTTCAAGGCCTCCAGGTACTCACCTTTGAGTTCCACATCTACATATCTGGAGTTCTTCACTGAGGGGGGTGGGAGGGGTGCCATGGACCACCAGGTCAGGACAGGCTTTGTGGAGTTCTTAAATACACAGACATAACGTGTGATACAGGACTAACACGTACATGTGAACATCTTTCCTGGGATAAAGGGAATAAATCCTTCACTCAGATTTTCAAAGGTTTCCCAAAAAGCTTAAGAATCATGCTATACTGCTACATTTTAACATTTGTGGTATTTCTTAAAGCATTTTATGAAAAGCTACTTGTAACAGAACTTCCACATCTCCTTCTTTGTCACTCAGTCTTCAATCCACCACAGTGACTTTGTACTTCTCTGGAATTACTTCTGCTTCTATGCTTAAACCCGACTGTTGTATTCAAAATACATTTCTTAATACCTATTTTGTTTGACTTCTTGATCAACTAGCGTAGTGCAGAAAAGCAGGCTCTGAAACCAAACTGCTGAACTTCAAATCTTAGCTTGTATCACTTTTAAATCTTAGCTTGTATCACTTTCCAAGTTACTAAACTCTGTGCCCGAGAGTAGTGTCCTCTGTAAAGGCTCTTCACTCATGGCGTGAACCGTTCTTACTTCTGCGCAAGCGTAAGTTACAGAAACCATTATGTGCCAGTTACTATTTGGCATCTGGGAGAAGCCTTTCTTGAAAATTGCATAACATCTGTCTCCTTATGTCTCATTCCAGCTTGACAGCTTCCCGGTTTCCTCTCCCTACTTCCAAACACATCGCTCTGTTTTCACTACGGCCAGGAAGATCACTGATAGGATGCCATCTCCTGCCAGACTGCTGGTGGAGTGCTAAACCCGGCAGCATGGTGGGCAAATCCTTATGACAGAAAACCAGTCCTGCTCGCCCCCAGGTCTACAGCTACCCAAGAAGTTAACCCCAAACATGCCTGACTCTCCCTCAGGACTCTGCCCAACTCAGTTAACCGTCGACTACCCGCTTTCCTTCTTCTCTTACCATCCTTCCCCAAGTCAGCTACGCCTTCCTCGCGCGCCCGCCCCTCTGCTGTGCTCTTTCAGGTCCCTGTTTGAGCCCTAATATGTTTCACCTAGTCAGGTCTCTCTACTGCCCCACCAAAGAACAGGTGCAGGAACCGTATGCCAATCCTGGCCTCTCATTTCCTATGCTGTAATTTTAAAACACTTCTTGTTCCTTTGTTCCTCACCCCTACCTCTCATTTTTAAAATTAACCCATTGAATTTGAACAGAAATGTACCTACTAAGGACACTATACATAAATAACTAGATAACAAAACTTCACACTGACGGGAACATTCTAGAAGTATTTATTTCACTGCTGACCATCTGGCTGCAGCTGCAGCTCTCGCCCATGAACTGCCACTCTCCAGTCCTGCAGGCGCACCGACGGTGGCACCACGGGCTTCTCAGCCCTTCAGGGCTCGCATTGCTGACATCATTACTGAGGGGCCAGTCTCTAGGGACGCATTTGCTATAAAATGTAACTTCATGTTTCGTGCATAAAACTCCATCTGGCAAATGTAGGTCCAAATGGAAAGAAAAAACTTTTTATGCTAGTTCTGTAAGTTATCAGGAATAAAATAAGCATTTCCTGTTGCCTTGTTAGTTAGGAAATAGGATTTATTTTCTCCATCAGGACAGTAACTTTGATATCCCTTAGAGTTATAAAATTGTTTACTGGCTACAGTTCTTTTCAAAGATATTGACAAGTAAGAAGTTGGCTCTTTATCCTGCACAATTTAAAGAAGTTATCTGCAGTGTGTATAAGAGATAAAGGTTATACTGTAGACCCTTGTGATGATATTTGAAAGGCCTATTCTCCCCATTAAAAAAATCCTACCTCAGAAAGTAAAAGTCCCCCATCGTCCCTGAGCAAAAAAGTGGGGAAAGCATAGGTGCTTTTGATTTGTTAGTACGAACCACTGAAAATGAATTATCTACTTCTAGAACATTCTCAGACAAGCTGAGCCTATTGAAGCAGGTATGAGGTGCTCTAGGGGCTTCCTCAGGTAAATGTACAGAGCAGAACAGCTGCTCAGCAAACATTTTAATTTAACTACATAGCTGAACATTTGCCATTGTGAAATTGATCCTGAGAGGATGCTTATGGGATATGGTAGAATAATTTAAATATCAGCAAACTGTGGAAGGAGGAAAACAGTGGGGGGAACTGTAGTGGAGAAAGCAAGGAAGGGGCAGGCCGAGTGGTTCCGGTGAGCCGGGCCGTTCTGACTAGGCCTGGGGCCTCCGGCTGTCTGCATGCCACACTCACTCTCACTCGAATGTAAGCCACCTGCTGGAAAGTAAAATTAAGACTGTCCCAAACTAATTGAAGTATTTTAAGGAGTAAATGACAAAGAACATTTCGTTTCTGAATCAAGGAGTGCTGTAATATCATTTCAAGGCATCTTAATACGGTTCGTTTACCCCTAAAGCAGTTGTGCAATAAGCAAAATAGTTAAAAAGGAACACAATAAAGGTCAGCTTCCTACAGGGGCCCACAGACAGGGCCTTGGCGGCACAGCAATTAACCTTCACATACTGGAGTCTTGCCTGAAAGGCCAGCAAAGGACTCAGGTTACTGAAAATCACAAGTGTCCCCAACAAAAGGAATGTTGATTAGCTAGACTCAAAAACCTTCCCAGGGCACTGCCTTCTCTGACGAATTTCAGAACGTCACTTAAACATGCTGTTTAAGCTAAATCTCACCCATGGCTCCATGAGAGACTGAGAATGCCCCAGTCAGTGCTGCTTTAAAATGTAAAACACTGGGAGGGGAAAAACAAAACAAAATCAATCTACTGTTCCCTAACTATATGGCTTAGCACCCAGAGAAAGCCTCTGCCCCCAAAAGAGACTTCCTACTTAGGGTTAAGCATCATGAAATGAGGTGTAACCTTTCACTTCCAGGGTCTTTTCTTGCAAGGTCTTTAGAGGCAGAAGTTCCACTTGGGTTCTAACACACATCTCTGTGAGCTCAGCTTCCTGAAAACACACTTGCCAGGCTCTAGGCTCTCCCTTGCCAGTGACTGGACTCATGACTCACAGCCACCAGAACCGCACATACACTATTAACATGATGAAAAACACCGCCACGGCCGCAAGTTTGGCGTATGTGGACCGCATGTTCAAGTATTTCGCATCCTGGCGGTACTTCTTGGACAGGCTGGACAAATTGTTAGCCTTGGAATCCAACGCTGTCAAAAAAGGAAAAAGAAAAACATTACTTAATCCCAGGAAGAATCGTATCAAATATATTAAGACACAGAAACGATCAAAATGAGTGGCACTTTGTCAAACAGTTCAAATCGTTTGTTTCAAGGATTAGGTCCATAATCCGACAGCTCGAGATCCTGAAGCAGCCACAGGCACTGGAAAACCCCCAGATCAAACCGTGCAAATTCCTGAGGCTCTACAGTGAGGTGGTTAGGAGCATAGCTCTGGTCCCAGACTGGTTCAAATTTCAGCTGCACCCATCATGTGGTGCCAGTCAACCCATCTGTCGCTCTAAGGCCCAGTTTCTCCCACTACCCCATTTTACTGGGGAACAATGGCACCCACACGGTTTGGCGTATGTGGAACGCATGTTCAAATATTTCACATCTTGGCGTACCAGAAGGCCTGGGAGTGTGGGTGCTGCTTGGACGTGGCAAACCTTGACACGTGTCAGCTGACATCAACCATCATCTTAAGCTTTGCAGGGTCTAAACTACATTCTCTCATACACTGACTATTAAGCTATCTCTCTGGTGACTACTGCTAAATTTCCAAGGTTTTCCACAGTACAGGTTATTATGAAAGTAAAGCTATTAGAAATACTACTTTTACAGACACAAAAGCTGTACTGTAACTGAAATACAACCACAGGTGCATGAAACCACCAATATCTACTAAATTCAGCTTTTCAATATCTTCTAACAAAGTTTTATGTTTTTATAAGGAATTTGTAGTATTGCGATCCTTTAATAATTGTTAACGGCCCACTTAGAGAAGTAGCCAGGTAGACACAAGCTCAACAGGACTAAAATATCGGGTAATTTAAATGATAAAAACAAACTAGAGTTTGACATTAATGAATTCTGATCACACTTCCCATTTCTTTAAATATTTGACAACTATTTTGCATCTGAATGTTCTTTCTTCCCTGCAAAATGCTTTTGGAATAGTTGATGTTGCTTAACAAAGACTGGTTTTGATTGAGAAATGTGGTATTACTTAATAACACAGGCATGACAGCCACTTCTAATTGGCAACTTGTCCTGCAAGAAAAACACCGTCACATAAATATGCATTCTTACTGGGGTGGGGGGAGAGATAGACTCTAGCCAGTCTACTAAAGGGCATATTCTACAGGGCAGAGGTTTTTAACTACTATGCTTATTGCTCCATCTCTCCAGGCTTAGAACAGGACCTGGATATAGTTAATTCTAAGTGCTTGGTAAGTATTTGCTGAATGAATCTAAACTTGTGGAGAATACCTGGGCAGAGAAACAATTATTAGGGCATATAAAACAAGTAACAGTAAGAAAATTCCTCTACACAGGAACACTCTAAAATATAAAAGATAAAGCTATTGCTTAAAGAAGTTGTTTAGCAAATATTTATGCTCTAGGCACCATGCGAAGTGTGAGAAGATACAACGATAATGAAAACAGCATGGCTAGCCCTGCCTCTGTGGAATTTATAGTTGTTATTGTGACAACTTTGAACAGAAAGATAAAACCCAAGGTTTAAAAACAATCATACGTAAGGAGCAAAAAACAAAGCATGATTTGATCTTGCTGAAAGAACCCATATGAACTCTCCTTGCATCTCAGATGTAAAGCAGACTAGTTCCAAAACTTTAGAAATTAGAAAGATGCAAAAATCGATTCTTACTATGAAGCTTAAAGAGAAAGGAAACGCTGCCTGGAGCAGGCTGAGCTTGTCACTGTCCTCTGCTCAGATGTGCTCTTTCTTCCTCTTAAAATTCCACCCTTCAGGGCCCTCCCTGGTGGCACAGCGGGTTAAAGCACAATACTGAGAAGCCAAAGCCACTTCCGCATGAGTTCGATTCCCGCCTGCCCTGGAGGAGACCACATGGTGTGGCAGACCTCTCCTGACCCGCCCGCTGCTCCCCTCAGCAGTGTACTTCGTCGATCTGCTTGTTCTGCTCCCCACTCTGTCTCTGGTGAAGCCTCTTGCCACCTCTGTACCTCTGGCCTGTACCCCAGTTCTGTATCCATAAGTAAATTAATTTTTTAAAAAAAAAAAAAAATTCCACCCTTCACCCCTCCCAGTCCACCTAAATCCAAAAATACTTTCTGTTCACATCAGCTACTTCATTCTATGTCTTTACAACTCTTCTGTCTAAGTCTGTTTAAAAGTATTACACGCAGAAGATGGAAAAGGATTCCAGAACAAATTCTGCAAGGCACTTGCAGTCTGACTTTCAGGAGCTACTTACCTTTTCTGAGCCTCCGTTTCTACAGCTGAAATGCTAGTATATCACCCTTATCACAGGGACCGTGCTGCAGAGTGAAAACGCACGTGAAGCCGCCAGCTTACTGCCCACCTCGAGCAAACGCCCCCCAACACCGCCTCCCTCACATTATTACTGCTCTGCAGCTTGGCTCGACTTCACAACCAGCCGAACTGAGCTAGGGGAATACCTGGCCTCCCTTTCTGTTAGAGAGCAGCTGTACAGCAACCAGCAAAGCCCCAGAAGCTGTTCGCACTTCTGATAAGCCGAGCAGTATACAAATTTTGAACTTGAGAAAAATACCTGAACTAGTCTACTTTATCCCAGGTAGAAATTGTCAGCCTCTTATGCTAAAAATTTAGTCTCATTCAAATTGGATGTTAAAATTGTACGCAAGGACAACTAAATGAAGATCACACTAAAAGAAAGCGCATTTATTCGTGAGTATGTAACACATCCAAATCCAAGACTCATTAAGTATTCCTGTGAGCATTACCGTGAGAAATGAAAGAAACATACAACGGATATGAAGCAATTAAATGCCCCCGCTTTAAAGCACGTGCCCCACATGGAACATTAAAATAGTAGGTAGATAAATTTTTCAAGATAAACTAGGCACGTAAGCACACACACTCCTCATTATGTGCTAAAAACATCCCACAGCTCATCAGTGAAGTCTCACTCAGGAGCTACGCAGGAAGCCACTGCCATAAATTTTTGTCATTTCCTCTTTCTTCTTTTCATTTCTGTAAATATTTACCAAATCCTATAAATAGCTTGGAAGTAGTAACTGCTTCTAGTGAATGAGAGACCATACTGTCCCAGCACACAAAAGCGAACCGTGTGGCCACAGACACTACCCCTGCCCACAGGAGACCACTCCTCAGCCCCGTTTTCAGCTACCTGAGAGGGCTTCTCCCCGCTGCAGCACCTCCTCGATGTTGGCCACCATGATCCTCTGCACGTCCTGCAGCTCAGTGTTAATGGAGCCAAGGTTTCTCCGAGCACGACTGTCAATGTAGAGCTTCTTGGTTTTCTGGATGTAGGTGTCTACAAGGAGAAAGTAGCCATGAACAAGCCTTTCGTGTTCATCAAAGTCGGGAATAGGAAGTCCTACGTTTAGTTCTGGTTCGACAAGTCCACATGTTTAATCAAGCTCTTGAGTAAAAAATTAGAATTTTGAGCTCTTCATCTGTAAATGGTAAATACGTGTGCAGATGACCATTCAGGAGAAACGCCCTAGCACATCTTCAACTTGGCAGGCAGAAACACCTGCTTCCTGCACACCTTCAAACCAGAAATACCTGAGAGAAATTGAGGCCCGTTAAAGTTTTCCCAACGTGGGAATTTCCAGCCCGAATTTGAAAACAGATTTCATTACTTGACCCGTTTCCTGAAGAGCACACTGGCAACAATCTAGCATCACTATGGCCTGACGGGGCAAAAGAGCAGCTACCAGCAGAGGCTGAGAATTACCGCCCCAGCATTTTCTGATACTCTGTGTTTGTGCGTGTCGAGACTAACTCAGCTCAACCACTACATGCCTGCTGAGGAGATCTTCAGCACAGTTCTTGATGTTCATGACCTAGCGGAGAATCAAACAAAATAACAGGATGGCAAAGGATAGCAAGTAAAACCAAAGAGGACTACGGGTGAGGAGGAAGCCTCAATTTATTCAAAAGATCAAAAGGCTACATACAGAATGGGAAAAGGAGCAAGCCAAACTTTAGTAAGCAAACATCAGAAAAGATGTTTCCCAGGGTAGGGAACAGCTTCTCTGTATGGTTGGCTCTGGTGACTGAGGTGCAAAACCTACCAAACTCTATAAAGGAGTAGGGTCTCGACACTGTGGGCACCTTCTTCCCGTGTTGCTCATCAAACTCTGAGTGCAGGTCTTCCAGGTAAGCAAATGCCAGCTTCTTGGGGAAGGCAGCTTCACACAAAACCAAGTAGCATACCCCCTGCTCGATGATGTAGCTAAAGACAAAGAGTGGAAACGTTAGTAGCGTAGCGATTGTTCAACAGTTCGAAGCAGACTCTCGGTGCCTTACTGATTTTAAAAATATAGTCTAGACTATGTTCTTTCAGGTTAACACACAATGCAAAAGTCAATTCCAAACCATAAATCCATGGAATCAGAAAGCACACATCTTCCTATCCAAAGATACTCAAAAAGGCTACTTAGACATATTTATCACGATTGTTTATTCACACGTAATTCTTCAACAAAAATATCTTCAAACCTAAGACTTTTTCTTAACAACCTTCCATCTACCCTTTGATTTTGTTTGATAAACCAGCACACACAATTTTAAACTCCTTTTGGCTGTAAGAAAAACAGTGGGACTGGAAGTCATGGTGGCTCCTTAAAAGTTGGAAGATTGCCACAAAATTTCTATGAAACAGCAGCCTCGGGAACGTGCTCCCTCCTTGGCAGGGCGGGAGGGCTCCATCCAGGTCCTTTCTCTGCATCCGACGCACCCGCGGACTGCACAGGCCTATGCTCAGGGTCTGTTCTCGCCTCTCTCAGGAACTTTAAATTAAATAGATAAAATAATAACAGCTGCTGCCACTTTGCTATCGTTGTTGTCATTATGCTGCCCTGACTCTTGCTTGGGAATCGGAGTTAACCAGTCTCCTCGCCTCAGATCATTTTCTAAGCCTCCAGTTTTATTCCTAGGGGTTCCTTGGTACCTATAAAATAAAACCACATTCCTGAGAAAGAAATGTTACCTGCATCGGTGTGATGAACACACCATTCACTGGCGCAGGTCTGCAGGCTAACCCATCGGTGCGATGTGACTGAACAACCAAGACTTTAGTTTAGCTGATGACAGCCGGGAAGTTGCTTCCATGGAAAGACTACATATTTAAAGTTATCCTTACTTTACAAAATTGTTACCATTCTCTCTTTTTTTAATTAATTTACTTTTTTACAGCACTGTTCACTCTGTGCACTTCCCCATCTCGGCTGCAATCCCTATGGACCTTCCACCACCACGGGACTGTGGTGGAAACTATTACCATTCTTTGTAGGTATGGCTCATATTTACTGGCGATCACGAAGAAATCAGGTTATACTCACTGAAACGTCATGGCACCAGCTTCCAAGGTGCACCTGGTAGGGGACTGTTCGTTCAACTTTCGGAAGAGTTGCTTGGCCTGACTCTGGTACTGCTGGAGGTCCCGGCCAGACTGAAAAAAAAGACACCTTCATTTAAGAATTTTCCACCAAAAAAAGTTGTATCAATTAGTAGGAAGCATCAAAGGATACTATGTGAATAGGATCATTTATAGGACTAAGATTCACATTGACAAGAAAAATGGCTAACTCTAGAGCAAACTCCTCGTTCAAGAAAATCACATTAGTCAGATCACATAAAACTTTCAAAGGCCAAATGGACATCAGTAAACGTGCTGAGGGCTCTGGGGTTAAGAGGGAGGGTGAGGGAACGGGGACACATGGGATAGTGGCAGAGAGGGAGGGAAGAAAGAAGGAAAAGGGGAGGGGAAGAGGAGACAGAGAGAGAGAGAGAGAGAGAGGGAGGGAAAAGAGAAAGATCGAGGGAGGGAGGGAACAGTTCAAACATGCACCCAGGAATTTAAAAAAAAATCACACTAGTCATTTGCTAAGCAGCAGAGGTGGACTACGTCAATCCAGTGTGCTTCCTTCCATTACCACGTCAGGCCCGTCTCACTTGGCCACTGACACAGAACTGTACAGAATGTGTAGTACTCGGAGGAAAACCCTGGGAACGGCAACACGATGAATCTTGACTTTTGTACTGGAACAGCCAGTAAACTTTTCCACAAAGTGCTAGAATATTAAGCATTCAAGCAAAACTAAACGTGTGCACCATGACTACAGAGTATCTGAGCATCGTAACTACAAGTGCATGAAAAGAACATAAAGTAAAGGTTGGAAAGCCAGCTATCCTTTACTGAACAAATACACTTGGTCCCCAAGTTCGAAGAGCAAATGTTCAGAAAGCAAGAGATAAACGCATCCAAAAAAGAAAACAATAAGATTTGGACGCTAGAATTACAGCTAAATTTTCCTAAGTTAGTTTACCTTTTTTTTTTTTTTTTTTTTTAAGAGAAAAAGCCTACTAGGGAGGACAGCAGTGTCACTAACCTACTAGATTCAAAGGGGAGAAGTGTATGAGTAACAGAAAGCACGCACACTCTACTTATTCACAAGATTAGGGGAAAACCACCTTTGCCCTGAGCTGGGAAAGGTTTTATCTTATTTTGGATTGAAGGATAAACACTGTTTCTCTTTGACAGATGCTCAACAACTATTTAAATAGCGAAGTTAATTCCAGATTTTCCCAAAAACTGGATCTGAGGCCTAATTTTAAGATCCTTTAAATAGAGAACCACTGAACTAACAGTAAAAAATGAGAAAGCAATGATAAAACCTACCTTTGCAGCTAAGCAAATGTACAAGTACAGGGTTCTAAACTATAATAAAAATGAACAGAAATTTCAGCATAAGAAAAAAATCATGAGGAGAACCTGCAGGTCACTCTTTTATTTTTTAAAGTTAACTATTTACTGAGATATAACTGACATCACTATGTTAGTTTCAGTCTTATAATGACAGTAGTAGATCCACCTATTAGTGATACCCTATTTATTATTAGATATTTATTATTTATATTTACACATCTAAATTTATTATTTATTAGTAAATCTAATTCATAGGAAATGTTTGCACAACCAGGTAGCAGCCCCGGTCTAGATCTCACAAAACAACAGAGCCACAGACCCTCAGTTTGCTTTTAAGATTAAAGGCATGAAGGGCCCAGAGACAGTCAGTCTACCTAAAAAAAAAAAAATTAAATTAGATGGCCTAATTCTCTTTCCTACTTCATCTGGAACAGACTTGATGAACTCTGCATACAGTGTATGGAAAGGTATCTGTGAGTAACCTAATAAAGACGATGAATTTCTAGACAAATTCTGGAACTAACAAACTCTGGCACTAATCTGAGGCCCCCCAACAGCACAGTCAGGATCTGGATCTGTGCAGGCACAGGGTGCTGACACCCCACACCATTACAACACTCTTCATAGCGGTCACCCAAGAACGTTGAACTGGCTGTAGCAAATATTTTTACAAGCATGTTCAGCTAAGCTCTTATCGCTTTTCAATCCCTGTTGAACTCAGCTGTTCAAAGGCCAGTGCACCACGAACCAACCATCTCCCTCCGAGAGCAATCACAGGAAGGTGGAGAATCAACCCTCGCTGAGTGGGGCGTGCAGCTGCTCATTGCACAAGGCTAGCTTCCTGGAGCTCCCTGATGCTTACTTGGCTGTAGTCAACACCTTCAAGTCCACAGAGCCGGAATAAAATGGAAGGTAAGGGAGCATTCTGTTCATTTTGACACAGAAGGGAAAGATAAATGAAACTGCAAACACCTGAAGGTGAGACATAGTGGAAAGGAAGAAAAAGTATGAGTTAACGAACCTGGGTTTGAAAGGTTCACCTCGCTGCTTGCCCTGAGCCCACATTTCTAGATAAGCACGGCCTAAACAGACTCAGACACTCTCGTGAATGTCTTTACTTTTATTTGAATAACTGTTCATTTCCAATAAGAAGACATTTTGTCTTTTTATCAATAGCCACCTAAATATCTATTATCAGTGTAAATATGTTAAATTATTTGCCCTTGACAATTAAGGTACTTAACTATGAAACTACTTGGTGGAAATAACCATTTCTTTAGTTCTGTCTGGACTCCTACGAAGTAAATAGATATTAAAAATTCTTAGAACAAAGCAGTAAAGTGTAGCAGTCAAGCACTAAGGCTCTAGTCTAGTGTCAGACAATGGTTAAAAATCAGTGATTCTCAACAAGGGGTGATTTCTGTGCCCCACACTACCCCAGGGGCATTTTGCAATGTCTGGAAATACTTCTGATTACTATATTACAGCTGGAGGCTGCGAGGGCAGTGCAGAACTGTAGAGGCCATGTTGCAGCCAGACACCTTTCCACATACAGGCCAGTTTTCCACCACAAAGAATGATCACCCCAAAATGTCACCAAGGCCAAAGTTAAGAAACCCTGATGAAAATCTCAGTTATGCTATTTATTAGCTGACCTATCTTCTGATTTATTAGTTAACCTATTATGCAACTGACCTATCTTCTCTAAGCCTCAGAGCTTCTATATCTATAAATGGGAATAATCATCATATCTATCCTAACACAGTTGTGTGAAAACTGAATGAATGAATGTGCTCGATAAGTGCAGCACAGTGTCAAGTATACAGTAGGCACCTGGCAAATGCTCTGTATACTATTATAATAGTAAGAGTCTAGGATTCACATTTTGCAGATATTAAAAGCTTATAGTGTTATCTAGAAAAAAAAATTCCTAAAGTATATCACTATGAATTATAACCACAAAAATTTTTGTGTAAAATTTCTTTCCTTTCCATGCAACCTATCTTGGTAAGCCAATACCTAACCTAGAATTAAATTTAGAAACACACAATATATACGCAGATGTTTCAATAAAGTATCAAGGGAGGGAATATGGCCCTAATATTAAGTCGACTTTCAAATCCACTTGTATTCTCTGCTCAAATTGGGACTCAGCTTTACAGTGGGGAATTGACTAGATCCCCTCTCTCCCTAAAAACTATTTTTTTGGTCAAACTACATATCCTTCAGAGAGTCTTCCCCCATGCCATTTCCATTATGTTTCTGAATTCATTTCCACATACTTCACTCCTTCTGCAGAGTGATCCTAGAAGATTCTCCATAAACAGCACAAGAAAAACATTTCACAGTTGAAAAATCAGGGCCAGCTATATTTTTCACAAATGATAAGACTTTGTTTTTGTGAAATGAATAAAAAATATTTCACTTGGCAGGACCTGTGGCTTCCTAATTGTATTACTATTCTAAAAGTGAAGGCAAACATTACTACATTAAACCTATAAAAGAACATTATTGAACAGAAGCTTTCCTTGCTTCTAGACCCTACAGTCAAGTTAGACGCCATTTCTTCTGGAAAGACCTTCCTGATCTCCCAAAACCAAGGTAGGTAACTCTGCCTTCTTCAACGGTGGGCTCTTCTTCCTCTCCATAGCAGTTATGTTGTAATTGCTGGCCAGTTACCTGGCTTTTCCACAAAACTGGAAGCAACAAGAAGGTAGGAATGTGTCCTCTAAATACCAGCCTTACTACTATGCTTGGCAGTTTGCTGTACTTCTTTTTTGCATAAATATACGAACGAAAAGTCCAAGAAAAGATAGGCAAATTATTTGTTACTAGAATCTTCTTAAATCTTAAGGACTTTTTTTTTTAAAGTAACTAGATATGCTGTATGAGACTGTAAAATAAAATGAACCCTCATTCTCAGCGTCCTTTCTTCTAAGACCCTTGCTATAGAAACTTGTTTCTAAAAATCTCCCTTCCTGATTCTAAGGCACAAAGCTGCTTCTTTTCAAGCTACCTCAAATTGCTGCTGCAGTTTTTAAATCAACGCATTTTTGAACACCCACTAACATGACACCACTAGTGGGAAAGCTGTGGGATCACTATGATTAAGATCTGTGGCTTGCCTGCCAAGAAACTCAATTTATTGAAAAACAAAGAAAAATAGTAAAGGTAAAATTATAGGGATATTCACACAGGGGTTCTAATTCCAACAGCAGAAATGTAGTAAGGCATACTCGAGGATGTGGGAACTGGAAAGAACCTGAAACGAAGGTATTGTACTGATCTTCAAGCAGTTGCCTCTATGTGGCAATATTACCTCGCCCACATTCAAAGGATGTCAGCAAGCCAGGTCAAGGATCAGATGCTACCCGGTGTGAAAAGGGCTGGAGAACTTAGAAACCGATTTTTGCGGGACTTGCCAGTCGGCAGTCTTGTCATCAGCACAAAATTTGAAATCCAGTTTTAAACAAATTCCCTAGGATGAAAGAACACCGGGTGACCTCGAGCAGCCGAAGCTATTCCTAATGAGAAACGTAACGCAAAAATCTACCCCCGGCGGCAGGACAAATTTCTCCTTACAGGTAGTCTCTCCACTACCAAACGAGAAAAGGGCACTTCTGGGAGCCTGGAAGGTCGGACGATCTGCCTCGTCCTAGGGATGGGTCCCTGGTGCCGAGCGCAAAGCGCGTTGCCAGGGACCCGGGGTCGCGGGATGTGGCAGCAGCTCACCTGCTCGTCCTCCTGCATCGAGGCGGCCAGCGGCAGCCCGTCCGCCACCCGGGCGATCATCGTGAGCAACACCATCTTCACAGGCGACAGGGACCCAAACACTGGTCCCCAGTGGCCGCAGGCGTCGTCCGGGGTCTTCCGCGGCGACTACAGTTACACCACCACCTCACCGCCCGAGATCCTGCTGTCTGCGTCTCCGCTTCCCGCTGAGGTGGCCGGAAGTGAGCGCCAAAGGTTTCCACTACCGGTCCCCAGAATTAGCTTCCCACCGAGAACTACAACTGACGGCTCGGTAGTTCCGCGATCTCTCCTCGGTTTTCAGAAACTTCCAGGACCCCGCCCACTCTCCTGGATTCCGACTTCGGCTGTATAAGCGTTAGTCCTGGTACGGGTGTGGCCCAGAAACTGAATTTTCTTGGGAACGAAGGCAGGACCTAGTAAATACTTAGATGAAAGGAGTGTGGAAAAAATCAGGATATGTATTTTCATATTTGATTTTCCTATTTTCTTTATATTATAAATAATATTTTCTATATTCGTATATTTCTAGGTAGAGGTTTGGAGGATTTTTTTCTTCATTTATTGCTGTATCCCTTGAACAGTTTCGGTTTTTTAAAAAGAAGTGTTGTTTTTGCATACAGAAGCAGGGTACAGACCAGAGAGGTACAGAGGCAGTGAGAGGAGTCGCCGGAGACAGGGTGGGGAGCAGAACAGGCAGATCAATTAAGTCCATTGCTGAGGGGAGCAGTGGATGAGACAGGAGAGGTCTGCGGCACCATATGGATCACTTCCAGGGCAGGGGATCCAACTCACACTGAAGCAGCTGTGGCTAGCTTGCCGAGCGGTGCTTTAACCCATTGTGCCACCAGGGAGGACCGACACTGTAATCTTAAGCAAATTAAAAAAAAAAAGTATCATATATAACTAAATGACCAAATACAGGACCTAGCAATCACTTAGGTGCACACTCTTTCTTTCCAAAGCTGGGATCGCTGTGCTGTCTTTCATGCTAGGTAGCGGGGCAGCCTTGCTAGAACTTCCAGTGACTGAGCATGCACCCCCTATTCGTGACTTGTAAACGATTCCACCTGAGGAAGTGTTCACACCTCTCTATTTTTGGTGTTCCTATTGTTGGAGGTAAAGAGTGGAGTATTTGGAAAGAAGGCATCACAAGGCAAGAAACGTGGCTCACACAAGGTCAAAAGCTGGAGGTTGGGGTTGGGGGAGGGTATGCAAGTGATAAACATAGTGGCCAAACCAGCTATAGAATGAGAAATCCTTAGGCAGCAACTGCTGTAGCAAGTATCAGAGTGCTGTAGTGTATCAGAGGTGCAGAGCAGAGGTCGGATATGGAGCTTGAGGGCCATTTTAAGGAATCACCCTACTCACACTCTAGAAATAATCAGGTTAAGGGAGTTAGCAACTCCACAAAGGAATAAACTTGTCCCAAAGAGAAGAAGACTCTATCTCCGGGCAGTCTCGGCACTGGCAAGGGACAGCAGCCTCCTGCCTGCCTCACCGTGCAGGTGTTTCTCTTCACAAATTTATTCCTTTCAGGAGCAGCTTTTTCTGCCTGTTTGTGCCTCTGCAAGTGTCCCCAGTGTTTATACTAAGCCTGTCCTTTTGGACATAACTAACACTCTGTCTCATGGAGAAACTCACTGCTTGCTGCTGAAAGGGGAGCTCTGGTGCAACTTTCCCCAGAGTTAATCTAGGGACCCCGTTCAACACCTGGCCTTCACCTAGCTCAGGGTATTATCTGCATCTCAGAATTTTCATGAGTATTAGATGAGAAAATATAAGTCCAGAGGTTTTGTAAACTAAAAAAGAAGTCATACACTGAATTTATTGTTATACTAATTTTATTAAGTGCTTACAATTGGTGTTTCACACTTCTCAGTGTTTTATGGATACTAGCTATTAAGCCAAACAATGTCATGTGGCTTTTTAATATTAAGCTTCCCTTTGTAGTTGGATAAAAGCCTCGGAATGTGATCTTTTCCCAATATCACACAGCTAGTAGTGCTGGGAACAGGATTTGAGCTCAGGTTACACTACAAGCTTGTGTTCTTAATCTTGATGCAGCTCTTTCTTAACTATATATTTTGTGTTTTTTTTAAAGATTTATTTATTTATGCATACAGAACTGGGGTACAGGCCAGAGGTGCAGGGGTGGTAAGAGGATTCACCAGAGACAGAGTGGGGAGCAGAACAGGCAGACTGATGAAATGCACTGCTGAGGGGAGCAGCAGGGAGACAGGAGAGGTCTGCTGCAATCTTTGGGTCACCTTCCTTACCAGGGATTGAACATGTGTTGAAGCAGTTGTGATTATCTTTACAGTGCTGCACTTTAACCAGTTGTACCACCAGGGAAGGCCCTTAACTATAATTTTAAAGCCCACACTTTTGTTACTTTCTGTACCGCTTTGTGGTTAGAAGGAGAATATAGTACTATCTCTTGAGAGACTTTTGGGAAGAAGACACAGTAAGATCCAGTAACAGACTCTGCACAAAAGTTAAAGGACTGGAATGCAGAAAAAGCAACAACAAACATGAAATGGAAAGCGATCCTTGTGTATACAGGCCTCTACTCTGGTGAAATCATGACATCTTACTTTTATAAAAGCCTATGGAATTAAATTGCGGTAACGTCCCACTTTATAAGGACACGCTTGCCACAATCTCAAATGATGGTCATTCAGCCTCTGACGCTGTAACAGTGTCAGTAGGATATAAGTGTCTTAACTGAGAGAACTGTTCCACGGAGCAGAGACGCACACTTGATGTAAGAGTCCCAACTTCTTACCAGCTCCTCACCCTAGCTCTCTGCCCACTGAGTCTATGAAACATCATTGTTTCTTTATATAACCTCCCCTTTTTGTTCAGTTTCTTTACACCTCCCCAAAATTAACTAATAGAGGAATGCAGAATCGACATTGGTGGGTGGGAAGTAGGAAGACTGCAGAATCACCCTAGACTTGGAACACAATATTCATACTTGCATCGCTTCCCTTTTTTTCTCTCGCACACACTAGGTAATCTTGACATCACTTTCACAGGGAGTGGGCAGTATTCTTCTGAGGTCACTGAGCACCTCTCAGGAGAAGGTTAGATTTGATTCAGTTTGAAACTGTAGTACTTAGATTTCAGAAACTCTGGCATCTGAGTTGCTTTTGCTTTTATCTTGATCATATCATTCACACCCAGGTGTTGCCTTGAGCTCTTGTCCTTTGGACGATGCTGTGTGGTGTGTTGACCTGTGACCAATATACGACACATTCTCAGTTCTTTTACGCTGAATGATAAAGAGTACAGCAAACATTTTCCCAGAGCTTTAGAATTTATAATGTTTCAATATAACCTTTGTTATATTTGTTATAACCTGACAATGCTGTGAAAATGGTAAAACCCAAGAATCCTGAAGTTTGTACGAGAAAAAAAAAATGAAGAGAAACCCTGAAAACCATATTTAAGACTGCCAGCAGCTCTTATAACTTGCCAGAGAAAACCGAGTAAAGCGCGTATGTAAATCAACTTCTAAAACGCGGGATCTGACTTTCCACTAAAGCCGTATCAGAAATCTGCAGAGATTTTTACAACTGAGGTCAAATGAAGCAATTACAGTCTTGTATCCATCTATTTTTAAATAATTCCTGAGTGCCTAATTACATGTTAATTTTATTATATGCCAGAGGCTGAGTTAGGTAATGAAGATTCTTAATAACAGTCCTAACACCCTACTCCCAGATCAAGCACTGTCTTAGAGGAGACGCGACCTGCAAGCTCCAGTTTGAATCACAAGATTGCATAAAAAAAGCGTTTTTTGACAGAAAAATATAAATGGCCACTCATCTGCAGCCACAGGCACTGATATGGCGAACCGGTTATTTAAAAACTGCAGCGCTTTTATGATTTCTAAAATAGCCGGAGCCCGGGGTTTCAACTGTTAGGTCAGTCGCTCCACCCTGGCGGCTCCTCTGACCAGTAGCGCCAGGGCGTTCGGGGCGGCAGATTAGATTTTGATTGGTTAGTTCCTTGCCAGTCAGCTGCAAGAGCTCCGCCTCCAAATGCCCATTGGCTCCTCCTCCTAGGCCAGCCGTCGGCCCCGCCCCCAGCCGGGCGCGCGGAGCGGCCGGCGGAGCTGGACAGCAGCGTCCGCGACGCGCTGGCTCCGGTTACGCTGCTGCTTTTGCGTTGTCGTACCCGACCAAACCTCCTCATGTTGTGAGTTCCGTGAGGCACCTCGACCTGTTTACACTCGAATTCCCTCACAGACCTTCCGTTATTACCCCCACTGTCGGCCCGGTCCTCAGGGTGCAGTAAACACTGGGGAGCGGGGTGAAGCGCTGAGGGCGCGTTGTGGGGAACGCGAACCCGCCATTGACTCTCCTCGCGGCTTGAAGCGCCGGCCTCAAATGGCGAGCCCCAGAAGCTGCCCCAGGCCTCGCCCGGCGCGGGGGCCGGGGTTTGGGGGCGGGGGCGGCAGCTCTGTGACAGCCCAGACGCGGCTGAAGTGAGGCGCTCGCAGGCGCCCTCCCCGCCCGCCTCCAGCTCCTCTCAGCGAGAGCGCGTGGTGCTGTCGCGCAGCCGCCGCCCTCCCTGGAGCCGGGGCTCGGCG